TTCCATCTGAAGTAGTTGCTGATACAAATACACCAGATGGTGACAATACCTATGAGTTGCATACTTCACCTTTGAGGTTGTTTGGAGAGCTTACAGGAGAACCGTATTGGCTTTTATCAACAATGCTTCAGGGAAACTCACGCGAGATTGTTGAACCATGTTTGTTTCAGAAAAGGTGAGCTTTCCCATCCTCACTATCAGTCAAGGATCAACGAGAACGATTTTGTTCGATCCATTCGAAAAGTCTGTCCAGTACCTCCACCTGATTGTTATGAGGACAGCTCAGAGCATGATTTGAAGAGATTTTTCATCAATGATGACCGCATCGTTTATTTGGATGACAAGTATCAGGTCGATCCAAAGACCCTTGAAAGGGCAGAACAAGCTCGAGCAGATTTGGAGGATACAAAGAATCAACTTAGAGAAGAACTGGAAGAATATGGTCCCAAGGGACCCAGTTGGGACTTTGTCACCTTCTATGAAGAGCTGCGCAAAAGATTCCTCAAGGGAAGAATAGAAGAACAATATGAAACTAACTTATTGGCCAGCTCAGAGTCCCTGACATTTTTATCCTGGAACTATGGCAACATGGTTCGCGGTCAGAAATACACCACACCAAAGTTTCTCCAAGGACTTGATCGTGCAATGAAGCCACGCAGACAGAGTGACATGTCACTTCAATATGAGCAATTTGAAAACAACCTTTTCTTCAATATGCTCTTCTTTTTACGTGCGCATGTCGTGATTCTCCAGGAAGCTCATCTCCTTGTTCCTGCCAAGGAATTCATTGAGCAAAAGAATTGGACAGTTTGTTTCAATGATTGGGAGAATCTTGCAGTGATGGCTAGATTGGCACCAGGTGGATATGTCAAGATCATTGCTGGACATGACCAAGAACTTGGTCACTGCCAATAGCGTGATGTAACTTGGGCTATCTACGAGATTTGTTTTGGAGAAACAAGGCCTCGTCAAGAAATCAAGGATGCAGACTTTGAATTTGCGGACTATGGTCCTAAGGAACAGCGTGTTCCACTTACTCGAGCGAACATGCATACCATCAGAGTCTGTAATTATCATGTTGATACACACCGTGCTGTGGATGCCCACCTATTGACAGGAGAACAGACAGCATTGATGCTGTATGAGTGTTTTGTATATGAGGTGGACATCATTTCTGGTGATGCAAATAGTTTGGCCTACAGAATGTCTGGATACAAAAGGCAGCCAATGGCTAACTATTATTACAGCACCATGCAGCATTGGATCCGCAAGTTTTCAGAAGCCCGTGTAAAAGCAGATCCTGGTATCAAGGCGCCTATTCCCAGAACATTTTACAGTTCATCTTCACTTGTCCTCAAGCAGTGTGAAGATTACTTTGAGAAACTCTGGGAAGAATACTCTACAGAAGAGAAAGAAGTGTACCAGGGATCAAAGCTTGGCGATACATGTTTGTCTACCATTGTTGAATGGGGTCATTCAATGAGTGGAGAAGAATATTCAAATTCCACAGTGAGCACGAAGGAGTTCGTCTGTAATTTTTCAGAGAACTTTGCTTTGATTGACACGGAGGTTATGTGCTCCAAACCCTCTGACGATGACAGTCATGGTCCTATGTTTATTTCACTCAGACCAGCTTCCTTTTCATCTGGAGACAGAAGGCTTTATCGCTCGGGCGAGACTCTTCGAGATGCTAACTTGCGAAGGAAGGAGAGACAGAAAGAGAATAAAAGGAAAGGAAGGCCGCCAACTTCTGATCAAGCAGCTTCATCGACTGCAGCGGCAGGAACTCAGAGCGGAGGCTAAAATTTAAATGATGGCCAGGAAGTGAAGATACTTCTGATCACAGTTGATACTTTGCTTCCAGTCTTGACTTTAAGTTGCCAGGCTGAAGTTTTAATGAATCCTGGTTTGCAACAAGGAGAAACTTTTTATCAAAGAAGATACTCCTGCATTCCAGGTTTATACGCTTTAGCATGCAGATAAATACAGTTTACCAAACGGTTATTATCTGCAGGTAGGTATGGACAGTTTTTCAGAACTGATGATAACTACCATAGCCGCTCTTCTGAAATGACCTCTAATGGACAACCATTCATGGCTGATGATTAAGTCACTTTATGAGTTTGCATTTGTAGTGCAAGATTTTTGTACATACATTTGCCGGTATCTCCCTTCCTTTTGTTTTTGGCTGATTTTGGTGTCAATGTGAGAGAGTCCTTTTGATGCAGTTCCATTTTGATTTAAGTCCTGTGTATGGAAGCGGCCGAGACCACTTATAGAGAAGAACATTTCTCGGACCGAATGATTTACGCTCCTTGCATTTCGCAAGGCATTTTAATTCATTGCAAGTTGTGCGGTCTTGAATTTTTAGTTCTTCGTTACGCGAGTGTCGTTTACTGCTTTTATAGGTCTCTGTGTAAAAGAAGCCGCTTTCCTTTGAATTTATAGTTTCTTTAGAGCTCTGGCTATTTAAGGGCTATTGAGCGCCGGTACATGGTATCTTCGCCGGTGAACGATACAGTCTCCAGCCGAGATACATTGTCTTTGACTTTGTATTTGAGGTGAGTAAGCTATCGCTCCCTCACTGTATTTAGTATACCTAGAGATTACCTTTTCTAAAGTGTGCAATACACTGGAATTGGTAAGTACAGGGCACCGTGGTTTCCTTTTTACGCTTACTAGAGCTTGCTGGACTGTTTTAGCCTTGCGGTAGAAAATAGTGTGCGACATACGCAATAGGGAGTGGACGTGAATTTTGTGCCTGCTGAAATGTAGAGGCCTGCTTGTACAGGTTCCACTCCAGTGGCCTATCTAGTGTGTCCATACTTGACTGCCATAAGGCTCAAGAGGATAAGACTCTGCGTATAAAAGACACTAGCGGTCTGCACCTCTACCGTGTACGCCCTAGTCACTCTTTCACCCCTCCTCCCCTCTCCCCACCTCCCCTCTCCCCACCTCCCCCCCTCTCCTCCTCCTTGTCTTCCTCCCATCTTCCCTCCCTCCCTCCTCCCTCTTCGCAAGTTCCGTCGCTCTTTGGCATGCGGTTAGCGTTGCGTATCTTGCGGCCGCGCTCGCTCACTCTCACTCTCACTCTCTCACTGTCTCATTGTCTCCCTGTCTCTTTCATCTCTCTCATCTCTCTCATCTCTTTCTCATCTCTCTCATCTCTCTCTCCTCTCTCTCTCTCTCCCCTCTCTGTCTCTCGTCTTTCCGTCTCTCTTCTCTCTCTTCTCTCGCAGGAGGATCCGGGCAAAGAGCCACATATAAAGGACTCTTCACCCCTGCCTCCAAAAAGAGCGCCGTGTTTTTTCCTACCTCGTTTCCTTCTTACCCAATCTCACACAGTACTCCCTGTGTTCGCCACCTTATTGGCAATATTTTGTCGTGTTTTTCGTATTCCGCTGAGTTGGCGAAAGTGTACCCTCGGACCACTGATAGATTGGATCGGCTGGAGATTCAATTTCTACAACGGAATCGTCGCTCTTCATCCAGACAAGCAAGCAAAACTCATCGCTCAAATTGAAGAAATGCTCCAACATCGCCAGTGCACCAGCAAGCAACTCGAAAAGTTCACGGGACTGGCCCTGTGGGTCACACACCTGTTCCCGCCCTTCAGGGCTTTGTTGCATTGGCTCTCCTCAGACTTGCATAGTTGCCCGGCAACACACCACAGTGTCAACCCCGGTTGTTGGACATTAGTTAAATCATGTTTGGCCGATGATCTCAGCTTTTTGTGTACCCCGCAAGGAACAGCCATTCCACCGCGCTCGAAACTGATTTCAGTTCGTCATACCCCAGTTCAAACCCTGCAGGAGGTAGAAGCCGTCCGTCTCACCGACCGTCGCTTATGGCTTCGCATAATCAATCCCCGGTCCCAACAGCGAAAGCTTTCGGGCCACAGCAAACGAGTCCTGAAGTTGTGGCTAGATTGGCTCCGATTCTCTGCTCCTCTCCGCACCATGCGCTCGCCGATTCAGGTGAGCATCCGAGCTTCAGCGGATGCCTCAGCATCCGGAGAGCGTTTTCAAGCGGGTGGCCTAATCGAAATCAATCACCTTGTCTTTTGGTTTTCAGAGAGCTGGACAGTTCTCGATCTTAAACCATTTGATGTCCCCGTCCGACCAGATGCACAACGGGACATTGCATGTTATGAAACATTAGCCCAAGGTTTTCTAATTTTGCTGTGCCTCGCAATCTGTCCTACTGTTCACCTACCCCTGCACTTCCAGAGCCTCAGCGACAACGTCGCAACGGAAGCTTCCATTAACAAGTTGTTCACCACGTCTACTCCACTTTGTCAACCTTGCTTACATTGTAGTTTCTGAAAGATTGACTTGCGAAGTGTCCCATATTCCAGGGCCACTTAACATAGATGCCGACTTGTTGAGTCGTTGGGATTTCACTAGTGAACCCCCCGCCAAGTTCACGCCGGCTCATAGGCGACGCATGAGCCTTTCAGGCTTCTTTCGGTCTCACGTAGCACCACGGCTGTATCCAGACAGCTTCCCGCTTCGATGGACGTTTCAGTCCTCCTAGATGATTTTCGCTGCCAGCACTCAGGGCGTTTGGGGATAAGATTCCGAGTGTTGTTGGGTAGCGGTTCGGTCTGATATCCCAACAACCCTCAAGTTTGGCAGTGAAAATAGTG